AAGTTTTACAGCATCGTGATTGGAGATCACCAGGTGTTTGTGTCTCGAAGCCTCTGTCACATCGCTTCGGACTTTATGTGAGTCGCCTCAAAGAGACGGTCAGCTCGAGTCGTGGCACTATCTCACTCGAACGACATGCTCAAACTTTGTGCGACAGTCATGCTGGTAACCTTTGATTGGTCAATCAGACAAGTACGCTTTGAAGCTATTCTCACTTTCTTTTTCGCGGTGAGCCAGGTGATTCGCTCTTTAGCTCTTTGCTCTTTTCTCCTGTTACCACACTTTGTCCGTCCACGACTATTCGGTCATTACACGACGTTGCATCTAGATCTACAATCTGCCTTTAGGGTCTGGAACAATTGTGTCAGATTCATGTAACAGGCGGATCTGAACACCAGGCACTTTGACCCAGAACGTTGGCCTGGAACTCGACTGGGGCCAACTCCGCCCCAGACCATTGAGCACCGCGCAGAGGCAGCCAAATAATGGATTATGAGGCCATACAGCACCTCTACATCTTCGTTACAGCCGTTGGCTTTGGTGTGGTAAAATCAGGCTTGAATTCTCTGGCAAGCCAATTGACATCTTCCGTTCTGTGCATCTGTACTACACACCATGATTGATGAGACCATCCTCGAGATCTTCAAGGACCCTGAGCACAATGAGGCCATCCTCACTCGTACAACATTGACAGATGTCAACAAGATAAGCATCTTACGCGGCCCGTCACGACAGCGGGCCGCATCTCAACAAGTACGAGCCCGCACATGCACCTCCGCCTATTCCAGCGAAGCACATCAAGAGGGACAAATGAGGCAATGTTGGGGGTCTCGAGGCCGTATATGACCGGTGCACAGTCGTGTATCGTCACGGCGTGGACTCCAATCACAGAGATAAGGTATAGGTAAGATGAACTACCACAGCGTTGCACTGTTCAACAGCACGATAACCACGGCAGGAGATTGACTGCCACTCAACTGAGGTGATATCGCCACTCGATTTCTCATCATGGTAACCGGCACGCATGCGCACGTCTCGGAAGCGGGCCGAGTTCACGCGATGATGTTGAGCAACCTGACCACTACGGTACTCTTACAAGGCTAGCCCTCTTATCCGGCGACGCGGTGTCGGGCCTCCGATAGTGATAGCTTGAACAACCATCGGGCCGTTGTAATACTGGATAGGTTACGGAACTCCACCAACGGCAAGGGGCTCATCACCTCTTCCAAGGCCATGCGACCTGCCGTACTCTTGCCGTACCTATCCATCTCGAGCTAGATGGTGAACATGGGGACAATGTACCATCGGCATTATGACAATAACAATTCTTTCCCAGCTGAGATCGCTTTTCTACAACACAGAGAAGTATACCAAAAGTACGGCTTCCATCACAGTTTCTCGGCCTTGATGAGCCTACGCGGGACTACACGCCCATGCAAGACGGAATAGCCTCAAGTAAGGGTTCCTGTCAGGCATATCCGGGCAAACTCAATCAATTGAAGGCAAACCTGGGCGGTAAAGATCGCTTGATTGAACGGATTCCGTGTTCAATGTCAAAGTTCTCATCGTTGGTCCTGTGTTTACCTAGGTAGGTAGGTAGTGAGTGGTGTTAATGGCAAGCAATGGAACAAGAGTTCATGCACAATTAGCCGTCGTTGAGATTAAGGTCATCAAATCTGCAGAAGGGATTGCATGTCTTGGCCCCGCTGCTGGATCTGCTTATGCAGGACGCGCATCTCTGCGAGATCATCTCATGAGCGATCCACAAGCGTCGTTCGGCGAGGCTTATTTAGGAAATCTGGCTTGATGAGCCATCAAGAACCATCACAAATTGAACATCTAAAACCACCACAAACCGCTACAATTTCCTTTTCGTAGCATACCTGAATACTTAATCATCTTCGCCATGTCAGACCCTCAAAACCATGCTCTCGTCTTTGGCGCGACCGGCCTCGTTGGCTGGGCTGTTGTCGACCAACTCTTGTCGGGTTACCCTACGTCAACGACTTTCGCCAGCGTGACAGGCGTGAGCAACCGACCTGTCGATGCATCTCGGACGTTCTGGCCGGAAGAATCAGACACTAGGCCAGAGCTTCAACTTGTTTCGGGGGTGAATCTACAGAGCCATGATGTTTTGGACCAGCTGCGGGAAAAGGTCGCCGGGATTGAAAAAACGACGCACGTCTTCTACTTTGGTACGTCATGGGCGAGATGGTCAAGGATACAGCTAATGTCCTAGTCTTTGCGCCGTACAATGACGACTTCGAAAAGGAATGCCAGCTCAACTGCGACATGATGCGAAACCTCGCTTCTGCGCTGAATGTCCTGGCTCCTCACCTCAACTCATTTGTCTATTCTGGAGGCACAAGGGTCTGTCATCATCGCACTCACACCGTCTCCTGCTAACTCAAGCAGGGCTACGGCATCTACATCCCGGATGGCATCTTTACGCCTCCTCTCGAGGAGTCCATGGCTGACAATCTGCCTGCTGACTACGCAAAGACGGTTGCTTATCCTTGGTTCCGCGAGATTCTGACCGAGGCGTCCAAAGGTCGTGGCTGGACGTGGACAGAGGTCTGTCCTGACGCAGTTGTCGGCTTCAGCCCTATCGGATCCAACTATTCGCTTGCACTTCACTGGGCGCAGTATCTCTCCTTGTACGCGTTCAATCATGGCGTGCGCGACGCTGGCGATGCCAAGGAGGTTCAGGTCCCATTCCCAGGGAACAATGAAGCCTACCACGCGCACTTCACGCCTGTATCTTCGCATATCCTCGGTCGCATCGCCATTCATGCTGCACTGAACTCATCGTCCTGCGGATCCAAGATCATCAACATGCTCGACCGGACAAAGCCCACCACCTTTGCCGAACTCTGGCCCTCGATCGCGTCTTTTTTCGGCCTCATCGGCGTCGCGCCCACTGCAGACACCACCCCTCAGCCACCCAGCGAGTATATCGAGACGCACAAGCACCTCTTCTCAGAAAACGGACAGCCGAACGCGATCTCGGCAGGCGTCGGCGCGGGGAGCAAGCAGCTCGACAGTGTTGGATGGTGGTTGACGTTTGATCGGCAATTGAGCGCCGAGCGGCTGCGGCAGGTAGGATTCTTGGAGGAGAGACAGCCGGTCCGAGGGTGGACCGAGGCATTCGAGAGGTTTCGATCGGCGGGAATCATCTTTTAGGAGCGTCGTATGGCGTCAATTGAAGACGAGGTCGGAAAAGCACCCAATTATGCAAGAGCTTTGCATCGTGAAATCAACGTCTCCGAGGCGTAAAGTCCCGTCCACTGCTACGAGACTCCATCGTGCCGCGGTGGAAAAGAAAAGAGGACGAATTGCCTTGTTTAATAGAGAATGTGTTTGTCATAGTTTCGGCAGGGCTGCCGGTCGGCGCCGCGATGCCGAAGGAACCCCGGGCTTAAGTTTTGCCAGTGGCCGAAGTGGGAATGGCCAGAGTGAGAACCAAGTGGGGAGGGTGGAATTAAAGGGGATAGCTCGGAGAGTTATAAGCCTTCGGGTACTTACTACTCGAGCAAACGTTGAGACCGCAACGCATTGTTGGTTCACGGAGAGGAACGAGGGCAAGAAATCCATATTCTGAGGTCAAGAAATCATGATCTGATGATACGGATAGAAAGGCATGGCGTCCCTGTTTCTCTTGTTCAGTGGCGGCCTGAACATATATATTTGACAGCAGTCTCTGCAATGCCGGTCATCGAAGAGATAGATAGTTTCTGCCACATTGAGCCATGGTCACAAATAGTCTGTATTTTGCCAGTTGGCAGCCGTGCCGTTTTGTAAATGGCCATCCTCAATGAAGACGACGACCAACAAGTCATGCCCGAAGACTTGCATGGTCAGGTTTATTATCAATGGCTAGTTTGCAGGGTTACCTTTGGAAGGTACCAATATTGATGAAGCATAAAACTTGATCATAATCGTTGTCATCACCCTTCAGATCGTGTAAGTGAAGTCTCGGCGCACGACTATTTCCCACCACCACAACAGGAAATGAAAACACACTCGACTGTCAATTGAGCAATTTAGGCATTGTGAAATCTGATTGTACTGGTAGCCTTTTATGTGATCGTGACGTTTGACCTGATCAAATGTCCACTTTCCTAATCTTAGAGATCTCTCGGCTGTCTGTTCGCTCTGGGTACCGAGGCCTTTGCCTTGGGAGCGCCTCAAGACGTTGTCTGCGCCACTCAGCTGGGACCCGTCAGTGTTGCCAATGTCCCGAGGACGATGTCAAGGGAGGTTGAAAGATAACTGTCACCAAGAGGGCCATCCGCAAGGTTAGCATTACTATTACCCCTATTACTACACTTCTTATAAAACATTTCAAGCTCTATAAAGTATTTTATTTCTTATAAAATATTTAAATAAAATATTAAAGTAAAATAGCATTAATATTTACGTCAGCATGCACCCGCCGCTCCTTCCGTCCTTTCCGCTCCAATTTGACCAACCTGGGGAAACCCCACAAATACCCGTCTTGGCTGCACCCCGAGCTGCACCCGGCCGAGTTTTTGTTACGAAATCGCCTCCTCGTGATGCCAATAGCAGATGAGCAAGACCTGCGTCTCCCTGTTTGGTCTTTTTGTTGCTGCCCCTCGGGATCTCGTCTTTTGTTTTTTCGGGAATGACCAGTTTGACGATCTCCGCGGGGAGAGGGAAGATGAGGGGGGTTTATTAGATGGGCGAGGAGCCCAGTTTGGGTCTGTTCTTTTGACTCACGACGTTTGCAGTGTTTTGTTAGTCACAACAAATTACGCATTTATTAGAGCCGATTGAACAATTAGGCCAAGATTGACGTCACCGTCTAGTTTCCCTCTCTTTGTTCTGTTCTGACTCTGGTCTCTCTCTGCTGCGACGGACGAACGGTTGGCATCACCGCCTGATTGTGTCGTCACCGACAGGCACAATCTCATCTACCATCTCGACAAGATCTCGCATCTTGGAATCACCTCATACCGTCAGACCACTTACCACCCCCCATGTCGCGTTGGGACCCCACGACGTGGAAGTTTGACATCGATCGGCTTCTGAATCGCTTCGTTCCTCCGCCGCCGTGGCGTCACCTGCCATACCCCGTCGCCTACTTTCTTGGCTACCGTCACAAGAAGCCTCGTGATATCGGCACAGTCGTCCCCGTGCTCTGGGCCTTTGTCGGTATCTTTTGCGCCCTCTCCATTATTGAGGTTGTGTCGGAGCGCATACCGTCGTTTAAGGAGAGGGGTGCTCCAATCATCGTCGGCTCCTTTGTATGTACTCGTCACTGATTGATTAATGATGTGTTGCTGACTTGCTTCAGGGCGCGGGTGCTGTTCTCGAATTTTATGCTATTGAGTCGCCTCTTGCGCAACCGCGAAACTTCTTCTTTGGCCAGCTCATCGCTGCGATCCTTGGTGTCGCTATTGGCAAGCTGTTTCTGTTGAGCGATGACTTTGAGTCGATTCGTTGGGTGGGCGGCGCCATCTCTTGCGCGACCGTCACGGCTGTTATGGCCTTGACAAAGACGATTCATCCTCCGGCTGGCGCGACTGGTCTTCTCGCTGTCGTTGACGATCGATTACTCGCGCTAGGATGGTTCTTCATTCCTGTCGTGCTGTTCAATTGCACCATCATGTTTGCTGTCGCGCTGCTCATCAACAACATTCAGCGCACGTTCCCTTCATACTGGTGGACGCCCGAGGACCTCAGAGGAGTACGGACAGAGGGTGAGAAAGCTAGACCGCCGAGCGACATTGAGAGCAAGGGTGGTGTGGCGGAGGAGATGAGGACGGAGGATGGCAGCGACACAGAGAGGCACGAGAGGAATGATGGGCAAGAGATCATCATCAAGCCCGGTGGTGTGCTCATACTACCGAGTCACATCTTTCTCATGCAAGAGGAGATCCAGCTGCTGGAGGAGATTAGCAATAGATTATAGATCATGTCTTGGATACAAGACGTAAAAATAGAAAGCGCTGTTTTCCCTTCACGTCGAGTCATTGGTCATGGCCACAATTGTCACAGTCAAGGTTGAAGAGTTTGTCTAATGGGTGTGTATTACGATCAACTGTCTATCTCTCTCGCTGCTCTTTCAAGCATCATCACCCACCTCTGTTCACACAATCTACCACTGGGGAATCGTTGCGGACCTATTCACCCTGTGATGGCATGTTGCTCTATTGGCTGTTCTGCGACGACGGCTCGGATTCCTCATCTATAACTGATAGCCGCTCCGGGGATAACATTGCTGGCTCTGCAGACAGAGCTCGCCCCGAAGGCTTATTATTCTGTTGGCCGTTCTGCGACGGTTCGGGCTCCTCATCTGCAACTTCTCGGTGCTCAGGGGATGACATTGCCGACTCCGCCGATGAAGCCCACCCCGAAGGCACATCGTGCTGTCGCGGCTTGAATGGATCATATCGGAATAGCCAACACCAAGCATCCATCGGAAAGTCCACCACTTGCGCGTCGGGAACATCCTCCGGTTCAAAGAAACACAGGTCCTTCACCAGCGGCCGCAACGCCTCTGGGATTAGCTTCAAGGTGGCATCCTCTTGACTGAGCTTCAAAGTCTCATCGTTCCACCGTTGAGAAATCGCTACATGGAATCCCAGTAGGCTCAGTTGCCAGGGAGCCAGAGTCCGCAGCATTATTTGGAGCTCCTTGTCGAATTGGTAGAAGGAGTGGGCAACTCCGAAGCTGTCCGGGAATTGTAGAAACTGCATCATGGCCTGCCGTGTGAAGGGAAGGGGGTCATTGTCAGTGGGGGGAGGTGTGGAGGTGGGTAGGACGTTGTTGTCTTGGTCGGTCATTGTGTCGCCTTTGGTGAACAAGTGGTGGAAGTGCGTAGAGAGTAAAGTAATGTTCCGAGTAGACTAAGGGTTGCCGTGGATCGAGGAAGGGAAGCGATAGAGCGGAAGGGCAAGAGGGAAAACTTATAGCAATCACAAAAAGAAGGGAGGCATCACAAATAATAACCTGACAACAACTGAATTGGAATGTTGACATGAGTAGGCTCTGAATCGGGCGTGAACAATTTGGTCAACAATGGGAACTAGACATAGCACAATGAACACCCGAGTGACAGCCGTTGAACCCCCCCGCTTCTGTTTCGAGTTATTTGATAATGTATACAGAAAAGATCAGCCGTTAGTTATCCTTAAAACATCGAGCTAGAACGTTGCAGTCCATCTTCTGCTGTTGGAAGCTGTGAGCACCGAAGGCGCGCCGTGTAAGGTGTGCGCCTTCATTCTGCAAATGTTCTGAAGTAGCCACTGCTTATAATCGAGACCCAATGCTTTCGCAAGGCTACACTGGCCTTGTCCGTTTATTTGGCCTATGATCCTTTTGTCAACCGAGCTGTGCCTGCTGTTGGTCGTGTCAGGTTTCTCGGTCGTTAGTCATGTCGTCCTCGTCCCCTGCAGGGTCGCTATTATCCTAATGCGTGCTCTTGACATTTCGAGGACTCAATAATATTAGAGTAATGGTTTTAGAGGGCTAGGGTCTTCGATTTGTATAGTGAACTTGGCATACGTGGGTATGCCCGTGGCGTCACGATGGTCGGTTAACATGGCACAACAGCAAGGCCGACTTGACATAGGTATACAGACACATCAATTGCAGAGCGCAAAGACAAACCTAATTGCAGGAATAATTGATCCATTCAGGCCTGCAAAGTGTCTGTAACGTGGATTAATGTAGGTCTGCGAAAACCTCGATCGGATTGATGCTGGACATTACTCCAGTCCGAAAGGCCAAAACACTCAGATCAACAAAGATCAAAGCAAGATCGTCAACATCTTCAAGGTCACACTTTATCTAACCAGTTACAAGAGAAAGATCTTGTCTCTTGGCTAGTTGAATGGTCCAAGTCTCCATCCCCCTATAGTTACACCGTCGACCTGAACTTGCTTATGGGCGGCTTCAAGCTGGACCTCGGAGCTCACGACAAAGTCTTCGCGATCAAATCGCATAATTGCTTTTTGGGAGTGCTAATAGATATGACAGTGACGTAGCTTTATGTTGGCAATGATTCCGCTTGCCTTTCTCTCCGAGACAGAGAGCACAATTGTTGCTGATGCTAGTGGTGTCCCTTCTCTCGAGAGGAACACCGTCACAGTGACAAAGAGCACACTGATCAACAAATGACAGCGCTGAAGCCGAAACCTGTAAAGTAGTGTTCGTTGTTGCAATGCATGAGGGTAATAAACTGCCGATAGCCATAAGAAAAAAAGGGGAGATCAAGCCGTCAAGGTTTGTCGAGGCCATCAAGGTGCGCAAGTCAGCAGTTGGCGGTCCTAGATGTAAAGACTCCAGGGTAATAGGTTGAGTTATTTACTCTAGAGTATTTTCTCTTGTCTCTTGAACCTTGATGGGTCTTTGTTGCGGCCCTTGGCCAGATGCCATCTCTCGATTGCATTCAAGAGCGACACCAGTCGCGGGTGAAGGAACTCACACCTTCCTTTCAGACAAGATGCAATTAAATATGTATACTGGCTGGCGATTGTCACGAAGCCCTTAGACAATGTTGACGAAGGTGCGTGTGCGAGCGCCAGAGGCCACTGTCGACGTACACTTGCAGCTTGGATCACATCACAGTATCGCAACGCCAAAGGCTCATCTACATCGCCAATTGGTTAAATAGTAAGCACAATGCCGTAGATAAATTAACTGGTACCAACGGCGTGACGTACTTCTACCACACAATTGGCATTGCTTTCCCTCTGGACCATGTCATGTTGCCTCCAATGAGATGCACCTGTTTTCCATATTTGGCTTTCGGCAAAGGCTCTCTCTAAGCATCATGGGCCGTATCAAATGACCAGAGAAATGATCGCAATCTTTCGGGACACTGCAGAAAACCATCCCGACCAGGTTGGTGCCAAAGGTTCCGTGGCGACCCGTTTGCGGAAGAGATTACTTCGGGATACTCCCAAGTCTATTACTCCTCAACAACCCAGATTATGAGACAAAATCTTTAGCTTTACTACTATCCCCTGTAATTATCGGTGTATTGTGTAGCCCAAGCGACGTGCTATCGCCCCCCCTGTATGAGCATACCGAGTCTCTTCGCCGGCGAGATCGCCTTGTGGCAAGTCGTCACGGTTGACACTCAGAGACTGCGAATACTATCTACTATACCGTTGAACCATAGGTTCTACTGTTCTCTGTAAGATGAAGTGGACCCAAAGTGAGGGGACAACGGGTAGGCGTCGAATGTTTCCATCATGTCTGTACTGATGAGGTCGTATCTAATGGCAACACACGACAGAGAAATTCCGATTCTCAATGAATTGAGCATGATTGACAGCGCAACAGGGCTTGCTCGTACCGAGACAAAGAGCCCGATGAAGCCTAGAACGGCAAAGAACCTGAGCACTAGGACACTGGACATGGGCGTCGTGTTGCTGACGAGGCTCTCCATTTTCCAAGTAAACACCATCTGAGCACCATAGCCTCCCTCCCCAGCTGCGAAGTTGTGGGTGATCGCTTTGGCTGTCTCTCCCTACGTGGTGGTTGTGGCGTGTATGGAGTCGAGATGATGGTGAGAATGGATACGACGTGCCAAACAGCGACACCAACCCACAAGCTAATGGTGCGCGATCTTAGCTGCGGTATAGAGACATGCTCCACACCACAGAGCTGGCGATACAAAGTGTCACTGCCCACCGAGCCTCAACTGTCTCCAGGAGCGCTTCACCATCCTTCTACGGGCTTGGTCGGGGGGGGGGGGGGGGGGGGTCAGAGACTCACTCGACCAGCGAGGGCAACCTACCGTCGCCGGCTCAATGTTGACACTTACAAAAACCGCCCCCATGAACTAGCAAATCAGAGTTCAAGTGATACCTAGACTACCAAAGGCCTAGGCATGTCTACTGATTCATATCGGATTTGGTGCCAGGCCACTCATCAGCCCCGATCAGTATATCGCAACATGTAATAACGCTCGCTAACAGCTGGGGCGCAATGGCAGACCGAATGCGATGCGAAGTTTGGGGGTGTCATTGATTCATCATTAATTCATTCAAGTCACTTGTAATTGTGTGGGATTTTCGCTATTTTGTAGGTGTGATCATCACTCAAAGGCACTTCACAAGCAGGTTGGAACTAATTGTAGCGAAATGCGCAAGCACAAATTGGTATAATACTAACGCTAGCGATGCATCATAATATCCACATGATTAAACATTTAAGCCTTCTCAATATCCCTGGGGGCGTTGGCCTCCTCGTCGTCGTGCTCGTGAGCAAGCTTGTTCTCAAGAGCGTTGGGCTGGTTGGTGCCCTTGTACGCGGAAGCCTTGAGCATGTTCCACTTGTCCTCCTCAGAGTCGAGGTGGTGGAAGCAGAACCAGAATGCGAGACCACCGACAAAGGCGATGCAAGCGACGCTGGTGTAGTTCCAGACCAGGAGAGGGTCGGCAGAGAGGGGAACGAAGGCCTGGCCGATGGCGGCGGAAATGCAGCTCATGAACAGGTTCACACTCATGACCAGGGACTTCATGTTCTCGGGGGCCTTGGAGTAGGCGTACTCGTAAGATGTGACGTTGGTGAAGATCTCAGAGATACCGATCAGGATGTAGGGGAGACACTGAGCCCAGACGTTGATGGGAGCAGGCTCGCAGTCCTCACCGTTGGCGTGGTCGCCGCAGGGGCTCATCTTGTAGATGTAGTGCTGCATGACGGCAGAGGCAACCATGGACAGGGCAGAGATGATGAAACCAGTTGTCATACGCTTGATGGGGGTGAAGGCAAGGCCAAGCTTGCGGAGACCGGGGTACAGGAGGTGGTCGATGAGGGGAATCATGATGACGATGGAGATGGGGTTCAGGTTCTGGATAACGTCGTTGGGAACTCCGTGAAGCTGCATGGTGGCGGCCTGGGTGGTCAGGTTACCGGTCATCTGGTTGTAGGCGAGGAAGAAGACGGGCAGGAAGAGGAAGACCTTGCAGGCCATGAGACCTCGGCGGACTTCGTCAACCCAGGCATCATCGTAGGTCATCCAGGCAGGGCGCTCAGCAGCGGGAACGTTGGAGGGCTTGGCGAGGTCCCAGTTGAGCTTGAAGGGCTTGCCCCGCTTCTGAACATACACAAACATGCGCATGAACTTGGACAGGACGGAGCCGGTAGGGGGAGACAGCTTGTAGTGCTTCTTGTTGATGGCCAGGACGATGGGAGCAGTCAGGAACAGGATGGTGGGGATGAAGAAGGCCAGCCAGAAGGAGTGGTACTTCTCAACGTAGACCATGCTGATCTGTCCAGCGACGGAACCAAAGTTGATGGCAAAGTAGAAGTAGAGGAAGATTCGGGTGTTTGTCACGGCGGGGTCGACAATGACACGCTCGCCATTCTGAACCTCGACGCGCATCTTGGTGTCCTCATTCTGCTCAGCAAGCAGGGGGGAGACGTTGGCCTTGAAGAATCCGGTACCGACGCAGAGAGTGAGGAGCCCGATGATGAAGGCGCCAAAAGCAGAATCGGCCTTGACGATGACACCGGGGGAAGAAGCAGCAACGAGGATGACGTGGGCGATGGTGGAGATACCGATGGCGAGATGAAGAGTCCAGAAACGACCGATGCGGGCATCAGCAATCCAGGCACTGGATGTTGTTAGTAATCGTTGAGTTGTGAGGGAGTGTATGACTGGGAGTGTATGACTTACCCAACAAGAGGCATCAGATAGGCAAAGAACTGGTTGAACAGAGAGATACCCTGACCAGCCTGAGTTCCCATACCAAGGGCACCAGCCTGGCCATCGGGGTCAAGAGGAGAACCCGTGGTGGAACCCTCGGGCAGCGGCTGGGTGACAAAGTTG